GGTGCATGTTGCCCACCAGAGGGGGCTACTCACAGTAGACAACAGGGGCCTGTTTCTGGGAGTAAACCAGTCTATGGAGTAAACCCTGGCTCTGGTGCACAAATCCACAAAGGAGCATCTGAAGACCTCTGATGGCTCTCTGAGGATGTTTCTCCCCCCACAGGACTGGATGGGACATGCAGGTATAATAATATTCCACAAATCCTGTCTGTCAACATTCCCCCTTTAAACATAGTATAAAGAAAACAAACACAATTTCTCTGTTAAAAGAAATATGCAGATTATAATTGTTCTGTTCTTTTCAATGTATATCCCATTTTTTAAACATTTATTTTATACTATAAATGTATGTGGACACACAGTGGCGTTTTTATATGTACAAAAGTGGTGGGGCACAACAAACTTAGATGTCTATATATAAGCTTCTGAGGTTCATGGCTGGTGAGGCTCTGACTCTTCAGGTTTACAAATATTATATTTTGACCTAAATCAAAATATAATATTATTTTCAAAAGCTTTTTTTGTCTGATGCTTCAATTAATTTTAAACAGACAGTTCAACAAAAGGATACCCAAAAAATGTAATTTTATCATTTAAATATTGAATTGTTCTCTCTTAGTAAGATCCCATTTTCAATCAAATTGCAGTCTTACCTTGACATGAAGATGAAGTCCATTTGCCTATCCTTCTGGACAAAAATCTCTATTACTTTTTTGTAAAAGTCCTCCTTATGTTCTTGTAGTTTCAAAAGTCTATCATAAATCTGATCTAATCAATAGATTTATGATTCGAAAATTATAAAAGTAGGGTAGACATGTGGATATTATCCGGCTGAACAAAACGTGCATTTATCTAACAGGTTTGTTTCCCACAGATCTTATTTGGAGCTATTTTCTAAAATCCTATGGAGAAATATCATTGCTTTTTTGTGGAGGGAAGCCATGCGCAGTTTATTTCCGGGTTTTAGGACGCCTCACTGCAGCTCTCTCTCCTCCTCTTCACACACCACACTTTTCGCGGCACACGTACTTACAGCCAATCAGCTCTGAATTATGTGAGATGACGTATGGTGGGGATGGCAGCTCTATGCCCCTATGGTCATTATTTTTTTGCCACACACATTAAATAGGACAATACTCTGAGCATGCGCAGTGTAGTTTTTACAGTCACCATTGACTTAAACAGAGAGAGGGAGGGGCAGGATCGGGTTTTGTCCCACATGGCTCTAAACAGCTCAATAGGCACACACTGTAGACACTAATTAGAAGAACACAGACTAAAACAGCAATGTACAGACGAATCAGATGATTAAACATGATCTTAAAATATATTTTATATATATTTTAATTTATTTTTTGCATTTTTTTGTAATCATTACTTTTAATACTTTCTGCTGACACTAGGTGGGGCTGTGCCCCACCTGCCCCTAATGACCAGTCGCCACTGGGACACAGTATAATATAGTTATTAACATGTGTAAATGTGGCAAGATATAACAGTCCTTCTGTGGGCACCTATGGATTAAAATATGAATAAACACTTAAAATGTCAATATATTAATGTGCTTATCACTATATGATAGTGTCTTAACCATGTATTTTATGTTTGAATACTGATTTTAAATGTTGTATAGGCAAACATACATAAATAAATCATTACACATTTAACAAAAACTGTGAAGAAAAACACAAGATCTACAAACATTCAAAGGCAACTTTTAATATTTCTCACAAGATAAATTCAACATTGAGTACCAAGGGTTTGAGTTCAGTAATCTGAAACCAGTGCTTACATTCATCTAATCTAAACTGTAACAATAAGAACAGTAGCAACATCAGCCGAGAACGTTGTCTGTGTGAGCCACAGGAATGAGAAGGAGGAAGTCTAAATTGAGCTTACATGGTTCTTCATTAGTGGTTTACCCATAATGTGCCATACTAATTAACAACAGGAAGATTCAATCAAGTCAGTCGTAGGGACAGATTTTAATGAATTGCCACCACTATCACATGCTGACGTTTGTAACCTGTCCCATTGCAGGGTTCAGATGATTGATCTATTCCATTAAAAAAGGCTGATCTGGGTTCAGTCAAATGGCAATGTTAAAGGCCAGTGTGTGTTGCACTGTTAAGGCTCAATAGCTGGGACTGGTGTCACCATAAAGGCCATTGTGCAGTCCTTTAAAGCTTAATTCACCCATGACAGAAAAACTGAAGGTACATTAAATGTAGCTTCTGACCACATCAGCTAAGCTTTCTCCACCTGCTGTTTAAGACAGTGAGATGTAGTTGTAACCTCAGGACATCTTTAATAACGTCTTCAGTTCTCTCTCTTTTTTGTGTCAAACTACTGTTTCCAGTAGTACTGTCCTAGTTAAGTCATGGCTGATTGCTATCATGTGTTATTGCTTGTTACAACAGAAGAGAAAAACACCACTAACAGGTGCGTTAGCTACGCTGATAAAAACAGCTATTTATACCTTTTACATAAACATATTTTATATATCATTTTGGCAACACATTTTGGCAGTCATCACTTAGATCTACAATCATACTAGTCTGAAAATATGATGAATATTCAGTACAACTTTGGAAACCCCGCCCTCGGTGTGGAGCCCCAATGTGTTCAATATTACAAATAATTTAGAGGTCAGAAATTAAGACATTTCACCCGAAGCGAAAAATGTCAACCTATTAAACCCGGCAATAATGGAATCACCAAATTAATTAGGATTCATCCACTGGGCACCACCAATATTATCTTTAGAAATGTATTATCCATCGAGTAGTTGGTATACATATATATATAAAATGTTAACATTTTTTATTCTCACCCAACCTGGTGGGCTGACTGACCATTCCTAAACCAGTATATTAATAATGATTAATAACTTATAAATTCAAGTCACTTCTGTTAAATGTTGTTTCATTAATATTTATTTTCACATAATTGCAATTTCTACAATGACACCTTTTTATTTCAAATTATAACTTTTTATGATTGAGTTCTTCCTCTTTACAAAATTACTTATTTTTTCTATGGAATACATTTAAAGATGTAATATGATAACTCTGAATTAATGAGTAAGCTAATACTGTTAGCACTGGCTCTATATATTCCAGGTTTACAAGCCAACCTAGCTGGTTAGCATATGTAGCCATGTCGTGTTGAATAATAGTTAGTTGTCCTTGCACTGTGTGTGTTTGCTGCAGCGAGTCAGTATTAGTTTTAGCATTTCCGTTGCTCTAGCTAACGGGAGCTAGCTGGAGAACTGTTGTGGCTGTTAAGGCTGTATGGAGAATTGAGCGATTGGCTCAAGAGTTAAGGGGTTGTTTAACATTTGTGAATAAAGACGTTAGTGCTGATTTTGAAATAAAAATGTAATTGAGAAAAATGCAGTTATTAAGCAAAAACAAACTTTCAAAAAAGGGCACTTTGAAATAAAAAAAATCTGCACAGAAGAAAAAAATAAACACTTTAAAAACAAATAAATAAAACACTTTTAATACGAAAAATAATAATGATGAAATAACATTTAACATTGATTAGTTTTAATAATTTATTAAATTACTTAAGAATTCATTGATTTACTTGATTATATTATAATAATTTATTTCGTAATGCCTTTTTCTTTTCAGTACTGAACACTTTGGGGTTCCATTGTGACATCTTGGTGGCTCTTGAGTCTGAGAGGCTTCTTGAGTTTCCTTGTACTGACAAACCACCTTTCCTACTGCTTTCTAAAACACTTTGGCACTCTTCAGTTAATTCATAAAGCACCAAACACCAGTATTAACATCAACAACGTTTTGCATCACTGTCTACAACTCCTCAACACCAGGGTAACAGAAATGACTGTAAGGCACTTAAATCAATTAAAAAAGAGTACTACATTGACATTGTTTTAGACTACTTCATAAGGAGATCACATTGTTGAGACGTGATGCTATTCTGCAGGCACAACTTCAACCATTGCATAGTTTAACAAAAATGGAGGCTGTGCTGTAACAGTAATGGCAGGGAAGTATAAACAAAGGCTTACCTATGCAATGTGCTACAACTGTTGAACCCAAACTGCTGAAATGTACAATAACCGTACACCATAAAGAACCTACAATCACATATAATATTCTGTATGCATTTGAAAAGCCAAATACAATTGTTAATATGCTTAAATAAAACAAAATGTGAACAAACCATGTTTTAAATTACAGAGGTCATTCCAGTGTTTCTGACATGCATTTCATACAAAAACCCAAAGCAGTCTCCTTATACTCCTTGGCAATAAAAATGTTCACATCATGAAAAATAAATGTGGTGAAAGGTCACCGCAGTGGTGTAAAATAACAATAATTTAGCAAATGGATGGACAGTTAGAAAACCCAGCACTTGCATCAACACAGGTCGGAAGTATAAGCAGTATTATCAGCTGCTTTAGTCTGATCACTACAGACAAGAATACAATAAAGCGTAACTGATTAATCTTCTTCTCGCATTAATTATCTATCAAAATGGTATAGAATTATTTTCAAGTGAAATGTGCTTCTTGTGTGTGTGTCAGGGCTACAACAGCTCTTTTAGTTTAAATGTTTTGAGAATGCATTATCAAAAATAATACTTTTCTTAAATATTTGTTAAAGGTGGGGTAGGTAAGTTTCAGAAACCGGCTCGAGATACACTTTTTGTTATATTCCATGGAATGCTCTTAACATCCCGATAGCAATGAATATCTTAAGTGCTTTGACAAAAAATCTATAAAAAAAATTCATCTGTGGAAGCCGTAGTTCTGTAAAAAGTACATCCAATCCGTTTAGCCGGGCCGGCTAAACGGATTGGATTGCCGCCCTGTCTGTCAGCCTTCCATCTCGTGCACGCACAAATGTATCTCGTGCCCTCATTGGGCGTGCCGTCATTGGGCGTGCATTGCAGCAGTACTTCAATGACTCGCCAGCAACAGGCGGCCACTTTCACCAGTCTGCTGACGTCATGTGCGCGTTCATGTGTGTTGGAGGAGGTGCTCTGTAAGGAAGTCTGAAGGAAGGGGCGGATTATTTTCGGCTGTGTACTTTCTAATTTTAGTGCACTCGAGGCGATTTCTGAAACTTACCTACCCCACCTTTAAGTTTGAAGTATTCCGTGGTTTTGGCAGCGAGTAATGTATACTTTAGAAATATCTGGCACACCCTGCTGAGCCGTCTCTGGATAGTTAAGGATGCATCAGTGTGATACAAATAGATTTACTGGATTGTTGTGCATCCTGCTCATTAGTGAGCTTTTATTTATTATTATCTCATGTATTAAAAAAAATGGCTCTTTTTAAATGCCTTGTTATAAATACATGTTTTAAGGTGATTGTTTACATAAAGTCCTGTTTACGTTGATACATAAATAAGATACAATCTACAAATGATTATTATTTATAATTTCCAAGGAAGACATTTCAACTGGAAGACTGACAAAGACTCAGCTAACAGCCAAAAAATGTGCATAGCAATACAACATCGATGCATAACCATCTTAATAAGGCATTGGCACATTCAAGTTCAATCTAAGACACGAGGAGTGTAAAGCACTATAGTAATAAATAGTTTTCTTCTATTATTGCTAGTGATTTAAAAAGCAGTGTTCATCTCAAGACAAAATATCTACAACTCTGACCATGATGTATAACTTCCCTAGATTCGTTGGAATCAATAGAAATAAACATAATCTAGCCTCTATTCAAAGATGAATGCATATATATATATTTTAAATATAAAAACTTCTATTTTTGTAACTCATTGTCATCAAAGTTTTGATTAAAGCAAAAGTACTTCATAATCATTCTTTGAAATCAAGGTTGAGGGCTTGAAAAGACAAAGATATCACAAAAAACTAAAAAAAAAAAGAAATGGAAAAGATTAAAAACATGTAAACACTGTCGGGGGAGAAATAAACAAACAAATGACACGCACAGGAGGAAGCGTCTCCAGCAGAGTGTGTAAGCTGCAGACGGCAACACTTTGCAGCAGGGTGGAGAAGGTTGGAGATGCAGGTGTCCTCCAGTAGGGGGTGCTAACACACCTGATCATTCTCATCCATGCTCACACTGCTCTTACGGCTGCTGTCCTTGGAGGTGTCGGGGGAGACGGACGAGAGCAAAGGGTCCCCCCCTCTCACCGGGGACAGGGTGTCTTCCATGAGGATGTCGTTGAGTTTGGAGCCCAGCTTGCCGTGCACGCTGTAGGGACCTTCGGGGTAGTTGGAGTGGCCGTCGTTCAGCTCCAGGGTGCCGGGCGGCTCTGCAGTGCAGTCTGGGAGGTGCTGGTGGTTGGGGTGCAGCGTGTACAGCTCCTGGCAACAGTCCTCCAGAGAGCGCTCCTGCTTTATGGACCGGGCCGCCAGTTCAGACGAGCAGAGCGCCGAAGACGTGATGACCAGACCGTGAGCGCGCGCCTGCATCTCCAACTCCTGCAAACACATAGACTCACAGTTTAGTCAGTGAAGTGTGACAATCTCTGCCATAATATATTTCATATTTACACTTTACACAGGAAATAGTTTAGCTGAGGTGTACATTTAGTTCTAAACCCTCCCCTGACTATGACCGACTAAGCCATCTTTCTCTCCTTTCTCCCTTTTAAAAGCATGTTTTTCCCCCCTGATTTGGATGCTAAAGCTAGACGTTGCTTTACTACCACTCTTTACTCAAATTTAAAGACCCGATACAATTATCTTTATAGTTACTGCACCTTAAATGCACAATGTGATCATTCAATCGATTTCCGCTGAGCCGAATCCAACAGACCCTGATGCCTCCTGTCATGTGATCAATTAGTTACAAGAGTCTAAACAGACATCTGCTTCCTCTCATTCGTGGCCTTTGCTGTCTGAAATGGCGGCTCTGTTCCCTGAACCTTGACTTCTTTCATAAAAGGGTAACAGTTTTATTCTGACTGTCTCTTTTTCACACATATATGCAACACATATTGTAGTTTTACTTTTACTATCAAATAACCTTGCAAATAGCAGTGCGATAACCTCTATGATTGTACCTTCCGATCACTACACGTCATGAAGCTTTGTCTACCTGTATCCTCAACAGCAAATGACGATTAGCATGCTCCAGCTTCTTCTGGCGAGTCTCCACCTCTTTGGCCCTCTGCTGCTCCCGCTGTAGTCTCCTGATGTAGTCCACTGACGCCTTCAGGATCGTGCCTTTGTTCCAGCGCATGTCCCTGAAATCACAAAGGAGGCATTATCAGAGATGGGAACTAGTGGAGTACAAATACTTCGTTAATGTACCCAAGTACATTTTTCTGGTATCTTTACTCCACTATTTATTTTCTGATGACTTTTTACTTTTACTTCTTACATTTGAACACAAATACTTGTACTTTCTACTTCTACCATTTTCAAAACACGCTTGTTACTTTAGTTTTAATGTGTGTTTGGTGGCGTGATCATTATTATTTAGAGTCATTGCGTGCCTATTGATTTGAACACGATCCGTGTATCCATCATTTCCTGGTCTTCTCTAAAGAAGAGGGACCAATGAAAACCTTCATTGGCTAACAATGACGTTATTGTTCTATTAATATAATGGTGGTTATGGGTACTTTTTACTTAAGTACATTTTGAGGCCCATAATTCTTTACTTTTACTTGAGTAAAGAAGTTTAGTCAGTACTTTTACCAGAGCATTTGTAAACACTAGTATCTGTACTTCTACTTGAATAAAGTATGTGTACTTTTGCCATTTCTGGGCATTATGAGTCCATCCTACACACAGTCTCTTATATTCTTTAGATTTGATGTCAGACAATCGGCAATAAGCCATCTCTATTCAGAAAGAGAATCTGACAGAGACAGAGGAGGATAATGAGGAGGAGCAGAGCGGCTCCGGAGGTCAGAGAGGTGACCAGCAGTCAGAAGTCTGAGCTCTCTGCAGAGCTGAGAGCAGCATCATACATGTTTACAGGGGAGGTCAGAGAGTTCCCTGAAGAGTTGAAGGTTGCAGGGGAAGTTTTGCAGTGGTCAAATCGATCTTTACTATACTAACCGGGAACGATCTGCATCCAAAATCGATACTGAGGTGTGTAGGTTGAAGCAGTTGGAAGCCTTAAAGGCGGATACACATCTTTCTGTCTCTGATTATTATACGATTGAAGAATTCAAACGTATGCATTTATAGTTGTTTTTGAGATTGTTTATGCAAACAAGCCCATCTATCATTTGTTTTTACAATTATTCAGGTGTTCAGATTCAGATGTAAATGGAGGTCTCTTTGTAAAAGGAGGTCCCTGAGTTTGTGTGTGTGTAGGTATATGTGTGGGTGGAGCACACAGCTGGGGTTAAGCAAAACAACCGTGGGTGGAGAGACACAACAAAAGAGGCTGCTGGGATCTTCCCAGAGCCACAGGCAAGGTCAGAGGGCAGAGGGAGAGGAGAGTGAGCTTTAAGTGTCTACGCACACAGAAAGTATGATAAATATAGCCATAATCTGACCAATTTAATCATCATTTTGTGGGTATGGGTATTTTAGGTGTTCATTCCTTTAACCGTATTGTGGTTGATTTATCATTATGTCACTTGTATAACCAAATAAAGAAGTACAGTGTATAAAATAAGAAACTTACGGGTCATTGGATTTAGGAATTAAGGTTCCCAATTCCTTGATTCGATCGTTGATGTTAAACCGCCGTCTTCTCTCAACTAAAGGGAAAAAAACAGAGGAGAAAAGGTCTATGATAAGCTGTCGAATAACCATCTGAAAATATATTTTTATAAAGCAAATAAGCATATGACACTAACTACATCTATTAGTCCTTCACATTTACATTAACAGAGTTATAATTAAGAGCATTTGAAATTAAAACTCACTCTGATTATGGTTATCCTTCTTCTGCCTTTCCTTTGCCATCGCCCTAACTTCTGATTTAAGAAAAAAAAGGTTTGATTAATGATAATAGTTTTAATTCAAATATAATCAACTGTGCAGCGCAAGTATAACATGTGTGTTTAAAGCTAATGAGCCGTACGCACCCCCAGGGAAGCCTTCAGGACTTTGATAGTCGTCGTATGTTCCGCACGATCCAGATTTATCCAGCATGTGCATGAGGGCCGTGGATTGTGAAACTGTAATAAATGTTGTTTTCAGTATTAAAATGTGCAGAATGGATAGAAATACATTGAAAAACAGGTCAGTCATGCACACTTCCCACACAGAAAGTTATTTTAAAAACGCTTCATTATGGTGTGCGCTGAAAAGCAGAGCAACATGTGGGTTGTTCGAGCCATTATGTTCTCCATGCAAGAAAAGATTAATGGATATTAATGTATGTTTTCACAGATCTAAGATCTGTAGACAATATATTTTGATGACAGTAGCCCGTTGCTTAAAGGTCTCCTATTATGCTATTTTTAGGCATATATTATGGGTCTCAGATATTTAAAAATATATAAAAAACATGTCTGTGATGTGTTTTGCTCAAAATACCAAACAGATCATGCATTTTAGACATCCCTCATATCCCTCTGTTTCAGCCCTGTTAGAGGAGGGGGAGCTAATGCCTGCTCAGAATTCTACGAGATACAGCTAAATGTTGCTGTGATTAAATGCCATATCATGTTCCAAACCACATCAAGGATTATTTCTGAAACAGTATGGAGATCAAATGCTTCCTGCTTTTGTACACATACTCTCTCCAGTACAGGTTAGCTCTGAGTGTTAGCGATGCTTGCTAATGTCAACAAAGACCATATTACGTCCAAAACACGTCGGGCATTGTTTCAGATAGCAACGTTTCTGATAGTGCCGCTGGTCCACATCTCCGATATTACGTAATATCGGACGCAAATCTGGATCAGCTCCGTTTTTAGAGATTTGGATACGGAGGAAAATACTTTCTGACACTTTGTGAGTTCCCTTACACCGACCTGACACACACATTTATGTATAAAATAAATCAAAAAGTGCATTTTGCATGATAGGTCCCCTTTAAGTTTTTTTTCAAGAATTGCTTTGGCTGTGCTGCTTACCGGAGTATTCCCTTTTGACGTTGGGCAGGTTGGCGGGGCAGGAGTTGCTGATGGCCAGACCTTGCTGGGCCATTCCCTGATTACCATACAGGTCCATGAGGTTAGCATTCACAGGGATCTGAGGGGACACAGCAAAGACATTAAGCAAGGATCACCCCCCCCTCCTCCACTGTATAGATGCTAATCAGCATCACAAGATGAGCATGATGGGAAGGGTGGTGACAGAAGACAGGGCCATTGTGCAGTCAACTTTAACAGGTGTTGTTATAAGCAAATCAGTGTAATGACACTGTTTCAATAGGTCTACATTTTGGGAAATGTACCTATTTGCTTATTGACTTAAGATTGATTATTCTGTAATGTTTACAGCAATCAGCTGATTAGCTTAGCTTAGTTTAGCAACAAGACAGATAACAGGGACACTGGCTCTGTGCGAAAGAAAAACAAAATCTACCTTAGAGAATTTCTATAGCTCTCAATTTTACACACCAATTCAAAGTGTGACAATTATATATTTTTTAGGTTGGCGAGTGCAGTGATTTCCTTGAATCTTCGCTGGTAGCCTGACAACCTCAGAGTGACGAGAAGACTCCAGGAAGTGTTCTCCAAAATGTGAGACGCTTTCTTTGTTAATTTGAGCAAACAGCTAAAGATAGTTTGTCTTTACTTTCTGTTATTGCAGAGATGTCAATTCAGCATTCAAAGGACTGTAGCCAAAAGATTGAGATTTTGTTTTTTCACAAGTATCAGAGAATTTATTTGGATATATTTACCCCCAAAAACAAGATTGAGACGCCCTCATTAGGCGCATTCACACTGCGGTACTTTTCCCACAAAGGTTCATGTGAACTTAGTTCATGTGAACTCTTTTATCGCGTTCACACCAAAAAGAGCCGGTACTAAAATTAGTTCATGTGAACCTTTTTACCCCCTCGAAAGTCCCTGCTAGAGAGCAGGGACTTTCGAGCGGCTCTCTTGTGAGAAAAGAGCTATATTTCTGATTGGCTGGGCGGATTGCAAACCACGCCCCATAAAACTACCAAAAAGTTTTGTGAAGCCGCCATTTTATTATCCTCGCATTAGCATTATTAGCATTAGCCCAGCGCAGAAACGCAGAGAGACTAACTTATGGCAACACAAAATAAAACATGGGAGTGGTGGAGATGAGGAGGTGTCGGCGTTCTGGCGATTTACTCGGAAGGCTTCAGTAGAAGCGCCCAGCAGCTTCTACTGAAGCCAGTCCCCAACTCCGGGGACTTCCGGCCGGGGACTTTGGGCGGCAGTATATGCAGTGAAGTGGTTTGCGGCCTGCCAGTAAACCCAAAGCAGAAGAAGAACAAGTGACGTCAGCGGCTTCATTTGCCTAATCCACCCCCAGGGACTTTTTCCAGTGTGAACGCGATCTGTACTTAGTTCATGCGATCTGTACTTAGTTCATGCGAACTAAAGAGTTCATATGAACTAAGTTCACATGAACCTTTGTGGGAAAAGTACCGCAGTGTGAATGCGCCTATTGGTTGACCTTTCAACAGAGTGAAGTGCAGAGTCTGTATGAAAGCCACACACACACACACACACACACACACACACACACACACACACACACACACACACACACACACACACACACACACACACACACACACACACACACACACACACACACACACACACACACACACACACACACACACACACACACGCACACACACACACACACACACACACACACACACACACATACGTTAGCCATCTGAAGTCCTGGGTCCATCAGGCTGAGGATTTCATCACTGTAACTGGACTCCAGACTAATAATGTCATCAATGACATCATCCATCTATAAAAAGACAACATAAAAGGTCAAAAGACATACAGATAAGGCTGACTAAAGGAACAAAATACATATTCTGTGTGTCATAATGAGGAACACAGTGAGTCACAAGCAGTCACCTCTTTCTCGCAGTTAGTGTTGAGGGTCAGTAGGGCCATGGGGCTGTTGGGGGCGCTGTTGCCCGGCCCTGGCGGCATGCCCCCGTGGTCCGAGGACTGGTTGTGGCAGGGCAGGCTCAACACCTGAGAGCCGAGCTTCCCCAAGTAGCGCTTCACCTGCTGCTGCTGCGAGCGCTGGATGTGGTACTTGGTGGGGTTCTCCAGGTGAGTCTGGACCTATAGGGGGGGGAGGAGGGAAAGTGGCAAACAGGAAGAGATATGTTATTTACAGAGAAGATAAGATAAGAAGTACTTTATTGATCAGAAGTGTCCAAACTGCAGCCCGGGGGCCATTTTGAATTGGCCCGCAGCAAATTCTAAAAGTATAATGGAATAAGGCCCACACATGAAACTTGTGCTTTTCCTATATTGTGCTTCTTAAATATATATATATAACACAGTATTAATGTTTTAAGAATCCCAATTTTCAAATAAATTCTGTCAAATAAAGTTGAAAACATTTTCAACACATCTTAGTTGATAAAAAAAGTGCAATAACTGATTTACATAACAAGCTTGAAATACACCCTTCCTATTTCTGTTTTAAGGAATGAGCTGCCACCAAAAACAATGAAACCCTATGGAAAGCTGTGATGTAGGCATGTATTGTCTCAAAGCATATTCAAGTATCAAGCATAATTTACCAACATTTGATTAATTTTGTTAACTTATAACTTAACTTATGAGGCAATATACCTGAGGGGCCCAGCCTTTGTATGTTTTTCTGTATGTGGCCCTCAGTGATAAAAGTGTGGACACCCCTGTTATTGATACCAATTTGGGAAATGTTTGTGTTGCAGCAGCATAAAAAGACACGGCATTGTACAATACAAATTAAAAGAAATAAACAAGAAAGTAGAAAATATACATGTTGAATTACAAATGTACAGTAACAAAAAATATATATATATATAATATATAGATATTCAGTTTGGTTACAGATGCAACATGAGAAATACATGTTTTTGTCTTCGTATGCTTTCCTTAGTTTAAAAAGTCTAAACCTGTTTAGATATATAGAGAATAAAAAGGATAAATATACCTCAAAGTCTGTCTCTAGTATTGCACCACTAACTCCAATATTAAAATAGACTTGGCACGGAGATCAAATCCGGAGATGCATTATTCATTTTTCTTTTGAGACGCTTTCAAGTGATGTTATCTCAAAACAGTGTCAGTACAAAACCATTTCTACATTTTTTTACGTATTCATATAGTCCACATAATTTAAGTGACAAAAATAACACGCACACCCATCTCTGCACTTCCCCGGTTATAGATACATTTGATTTCTGAGGATCATTAAGTCCCACGCAGCATTACAGATCCAGAAAAGCGAAAACAAACTTCAGAGAGTGTTTGTCAGACTGTCACACATTTTAAATGGAGCAGTGCTGCTGCATCCCAGATGAGTCTATATTTAAACCAGCTGTCTATTGCGTGAATCTCTAATTTATGAGAAAACAACAGTAAAAAGTTCATCAATAAATATAGATACATAATAACTGTATAAACATGCATCAGCACTGACACTGTTTTTAAGATTAAGTCACATACTGTCATGTTATTTTTCACTTATAATAAAAGAAAATACCACAAAAAAAGATGATTGTTGATTGTAAACATACCTCATAAGGTTGGTATCCGAGCAGCTCAAGCATCATTTTAAGTAAAGTGATCCTTCCTATTTAAAAACTCCTCTGTTTAACTTGCTATCTATTTCCTAACTATCTAACTTCTATCTAGACTAAGAAGTTCTGTAGCTGCTTCCCTCTCGCCTGCACAGGAAGACTAAGCCTTGCTGAGGAGAGGCACCACCAGCTCATCTTTTAAAGACAAGAAAGGTCATTAGTTATGCATATCAGGGAGGCACAATGAGCTTTTTCAAATGTGTGTTGTTTTATGTAAAATCTGAATTTATCACTTGATGTCAGGATGTGCTGCTAACAGTTAGTGCCTTTGTTTTGCGAGGCCACCTCTATTACTGAAACTTGCCTGGGGCTGTTGCTTTGCCGCAGCCACTTTTTTTTAACCCTGTGGATGCTAGGCAGTTCAACACAGCCAAAAATAACAACGTTTTTGTCTGCAGTAGCTCGCCTCTAAATGTAATTTCTAATCAGGAACAACAGGCATAAACGTCTCAAAGCCAACAAATAAGAGGCTACTTTTATTTTTAGGTTTATGTATTTGTTCTGCTTAAGCTTCGAGTATTTGGGTTTATTAACAGAGCTGACGAGGTCACAGGCTCTTGAAAAACTCTAAGCTACCGCTGACACTTCCTCTGCTTCTGTGAAAACCCTATTGGACTGCACTCTACAGATGTGGTTATTATATCTCATGGAGCCTGAGAAAAAAGAAAAAGAAATGCTTTGACACATCTATTTCTGAGCATGGATACTCAATATGTGTGAGAACTGACTGATCAAGATAATAATGTGACTCAAAACAAGTCCAAATGTGCGCTTAGGGCTGATCAATATATCAATATTATATAGAAGTTGTGATATGGACAGCATATGGTCTTACATTTCGGATAGTATAATATGTTTTCCTTTTACAGTAAAATTATGCATTTCTCTTATCTCACTCAACTGTTACAGAGGTTTTATAATATGTTATTCAATTAGCCATTGTCTCCAAATGTCATTGTGTAAATATTTTGTGATGGCACCAAACAACAACCATACAATATCGTCTCAATATCAATATTGGTCAGAAATATTGTAATTTCTCTATATTGCACGTTTGTAATGGTGCATCTGTTTATCCTTTAGAAAGTGTATGACCTGTCACACCTGACATCTCTTTGATTGTACCTCTCATATGAATACATATTAGGACTAGTCAGGTCAAGCCAGATTATCCGTTATCCGTTTGTGACTATTGCATTTTTCCACCTCTCATCAGAACAGAGAGTCTTTCACAGTCCCTTCTCCATGCTCAGAGACAGTATCATTGTTCTGCAGGGGGATACTCATGTGAGAGGTGCGTTGACATTTATCACCCAGGTATGACGTCATTACAGGGTTGTAAAGTTGACACCGCTGAAGGGGACATATTTACAGCACGTCACCCTCTATTGAAAAGAACCATGTCACGCTTTGGGCTCGTTTGAAACAATGAGAGTCTTTAATGTTGCTCACTACAACCCTTTAGTCCTTACTTTGTTCTCGTTATGGTGCATAACTCCTCTGTATTCTTAATGATGATTATATTTCAAGGATAATTTCCATGGTTCCAATAAAGCAGCTCCTCTGTAAAGCCAGTCACCACTGGCACGCAGGAATACTTTTAATACAAAATGATTTGCTTCTTACATTGTGGACCACCTTGGCGCTAAACCTCAAAATAGACCTAGGCTGCAGAGTATTTCAAAACCTAATCCTGATGGATAATACTTAAGCCATAAATAAGCAATCCAATTATTTGCATTCACATGTTTGGCTAAACAAACAGTGACTAGTTGATTACTACTAAACTATACACTACATTACGACTGCATTTGGTTGGAATTATCTGGAACAAAAGTTGGCACAATACCCAATTTCAATTTAGATTGCTCTCTCATATGTTTTTTGTTGTTGTTGTTGGTATTATCTTTTCTGTTAATCATTTGGTCCATAAAATGACGGGGGAAAAGTTGTTATGTAGTGAGAACATATATTAGGAGATAAAGAAAGCAGGTCATCGTCACACTTGACCAAATGGAAACATGCAATATTCAATCACTTCAACATATTGTTAAATACCCAAATAGACTGAATAAGAGGAATTGAAAAGGTTTTATATTATACTTTTAAGTCTAGACTGAATACAAAATAGGGATATAAAGTGTTGATTGTGGATTATTTTAATGTTAATTACCTGTTAGTTTTGAGCCATGACCACACAAGGCAATTATTCCCCTTTTAGTCAAAGTGGCATGTTTTAATTTGCAGTCAGCTGCTATCATCATAAAAAAATACAAGTTAGTGGAAAGCATACAAACAGGAAATACTTTATCTTGTCTGTCATCAGTTAGTTCCCGCCATGGTTCCAACACTCGAGGTGTTTCCTATTGACCTCCAGGATTACTGAGTATTCTGTCCGACTCCGAGTGGGAACAATACTTTATTATTTAGCATCTGCTTGTGAGGAAAAGAGTAACCAGCAACATCAACTTTCCTGGTTTGACTCTGAAAACTTGCCAAAAACTGCATCTGACTTTGAAGACTTAAAGCAGGGGCATCCAAACTTTTTTCACGAGGGCCACATACAGTACATAACAATATACGAAGGGCTGGGCCACTCACTAGAGCAGGGGTGCCCAACCTTTTTTGAACCGAGAGCTACTTTTAAAGTTGCCAGTCTGCCGAGATCTACCAGTCCAAATAGAGAGGCGTAGCCATTACTGACAGCCTGCTACCAGATAAATACACACTTCTTCTTGTATAAATCTGACCTTTGTACGATTAATACTCCATAAAATACTGCAGATCCTTTATCTTACCTCTTTCTAATCTACACACATACAAGTATTTAACTGAAGTTACACAACAGTGTTGTTGATACAGAGTTGGAGTTTATTCACACGTCACTACAGTGGGTAATGTTTTCAAGAAACATTGAACAGTGCTGCCACATATGACACAGGAACAAAAGAAAAGACTCTGAACCCTTTCTTTGTCCTTATATAAAATTAGTGTTGCTACAAAAGTATAAATTAGGCTTACTAATAAGACAACTCAGATCTGAATCTACACAGGAATCTGCTGCCAAAGTGCAATAAAAAAGACTAAATGAATAGAATCAAACCCTTTTTTTGTTGCATTTTAGTAGAGTATAAAAATAAATGCATTTAAAATAGGATGCAAGCAACACTAGTTTCTTAACCTGAATTGATAATAGACTATAATCAATTTAAGTTTGCATTCTTATACCATTTTGTACAATAATTATAATTAATAAGTTCAAACAAACTAAAACTTACAGCTGATTAATAACGGTATATATAACTTGAGTTTTTATCATATCAAAAACCTGTTGAAATGCTACTGTTATTTTTATTACGCATCGGCAGCCTCCAGGAAAGCTTCTTTCACAACTTCGCCATCTTTGAAAGACTTCATGTGTTTCGCAAGAACGTGACTGACACGATAAGATGCTCTGGTAGCAGCCTTGCTCTTGTTGTTGGGCCT